GGGATGGAGGGAGATTTACCAAGCCAAATGGAGAGCAAAAAAAGCAGGAGTTGCAATTCTCGTCTCTGATAAAATAGACTTTAAACCAACAAAGATCAAAGGAGACAAAGAAGGACATTACATAATGGTAAAAGGGTCAATGCAGCAAGAAGAGCTAACGAACCTAAATACATACACATCCAATACAGGAGCACCCAGATACATAAGGCAAGTTCTTAATGACTTACAAAGAGACTTATAGACTCCCACACAATAATAGTGCGAGACTTTAACACCCCATTGGCAATATCAAGACAGATCAATGAGACAGAAAATTAACAAGGATATCCAGGACTTGAACTCAGACCTGGACCAAGTAAACCTAATAGACAGTCACAGAACTCTCCACCCCAAATGCACAGAATATGCATTCTTCTCAGCACCACCTCGCACCTACTTTAAAACTGACCACATAATTGGAAGTAAATCACTCCTCAGCAAATGCAAAAGAACGGAAATCTTAACAAACAGTCTCTCAGACCACAGTGCAATCAAGTTAGAACTCAGAATTCAGAAAGTAACTCAGAACCGCACCGCTTCATAGAAACTGAACAACTGGCTCTTGAATGTTGACTGGATAAAAAATGAAATGAAGGTAGAAATAAAGATGTTCTTCGAAACCAACGAGAACGAAGACAGAACATACCAGAATCTCTGGGACACATTTAAAGCAGTCTCTAGAGGAAAATAATATAGCAATAAATGCCCACGAGAAGCAAGGATTTAAAATCACCAACCTATCGTCAAAATTGAAAGAGCTAGAGGAGCAAGATAAAAAAAATCTCAAAATCTAGCAGAAGACAAGAAATAACTAAGATCAGAGCAGAACTGAAGGAGATAGGGCCACAAAAAAAACCCGTCAAAAAAATCAATAAATTCAGAAGCTGGTTTTTCGAAAAGATCAACAAAATAGACCACTAGCCGGATAAAGAAGAAAAGAGAGAATAATCAAATAGATTTAATAAAAAACGATAAAGGGAGGCCGGGCACGGTGGCTCACACCTATAATCCCAGCAATTTGGGAGGCTGAGGCGGGTGGATCACGAGGTCAGGAGATCGAGACCATCCTGGTCAACATGGTGAAACCCTGTCTCTACTAAAAATGCAAAAATTAGCTGGGCATGGTGGCACGTGCCTGTAGTCCCAGCTACTCGGGAGGCTGAGGCAGGAAAATTGCTTGAACCCAGGAGGTGGAGGTTGCGGTGAGCTGAGATCGCGTCATTGCACTCCAGCCTGGGTAACAAGAGCAAACCTCCATCTCAAAAGAACAAAACAAAACAAAACAAAAACAAACAAACAAACAAAAATGATGAAGGGTATGTCACCACAGATTCCACAGACATTCAAACCATCATCAGAGATTATTACAAACATCTCTATGCACATAAACTAGTAAACCTGGAAGAAATGGATAAATTCCTAGACACTTGCATTCTCCCAAGCCTAAACCAAGAAGAAGCTGAAACCCTGAATAGACAAATAACAAAGTCTGAAGTTGAGGCAGCAATTAAGAGCCTACCACCCAGAAAAACCTGAGGTCGAGATGGGTTCAGAGCTGAATTCTGCCAGACATACAAAGAGGAGGTGGTACCATTCCTTCTGAAACTATTCCAAACAATACAAAAAGAGGGAATCCTTACCAAATCATTTTATGAGACCAACATAATCCTGATACCAAAACTCGGCAGAGACTCGGCAAGAAAAGAAAACTTTACGCCAATATCCATCATGAACGTAGATGCAAAAATCTTCAATAAAATACTGGCAAACCAATGGCAACAGCACATCAAAAAGCTTATCGGCCATGATCAAGTAGGATTCATCCTGGGGATGCAAGGCTGGTTCAACATAAGTAAGTCTATAAACATAATTCACCACATAAACAGAACCAAAGATAAAAACCACACGATTATCTCAATTGATGCAGAGAAGGCCTTTGACAAAATTCAACAGCCTTTATGCTAAAAACCCTCAATAAACTAGGTATTGATGGAATGTATCGCAAAATAATAAAAGCTACTTACGACAAACCAATAGCCAGTATCATATTAAATGGGCAAAAACTGGAAGCATTCCCTTTGAAATCCAGCACTAGACAAGGATGCCCTCTCTAACAACTCCTATTCAGTACAGGTATTGATCGACTTACCACCTATGCAACTTACGACCATTCGACTTTACGACCACAATCGCTAGCCACGACTGCTCTGCGTCTGGCAGCGCAAACGTTGCCCAGCTGGGCGTACGACAGTGCGGACCAGCTTCCGGCAGCACTACCATCTCCGCGTGCACCATTTCAACTGTATACATAGCCTGCTCAACTTACGACCAAATCGTGTTACGACCGGTCCGCAGTGCCGACCGTGGTCGTGAGTTGAGCACTAACTGTATAATACTGGAAGTTCTAGCCAGAGCAGTCAGGCAAGAAAAAGAAATAAAGGGTATTCAAATAGGAAAGGAGGAAGTCAAATTGTCTCTATTTGCAGACAACATGATTGTATATCTAGAAGACCCCATAGTCTCAGCTTAAAATCTCCTGAAACTGATAAGCAACTTCAGCAAAGTCTCAGGATACAAAAGCAATGTGCAAAAATCACAAACATTCCTGTACACCAATAATAGACTTAAAGAGAGCCAAATCAAGAACGAACTGCCATTCACAACTGCTACAAAGTGAAGTGGTGATTCCTCAAGGACCTAGAAATAGAAATTCCATTTGACCCAGCAATCCTATTACTGGGTATATATCCAAAGGATTATAAATCATTCTACAATAAGGACACATGCACACGAATGTTCACTGCAGCACTGTTTACAATAGCAAAGACCTGGAACCAACCCAAATGCCCATCGATGATAGACTGGACAGGGAAAATGTGGCACATAGACACCATGGAATATTATGCAGCCATCAAAAACGATAAGTTCATGTCCTTTATAGGGACATGGATGAACCTGTAAACCATCATTCTCAGCAAACTAACACAAGAACAGAAAATCAAACACCGCATTTTCTCACTCATAGGCGGGTGTTGAACAATGAGAACACATAGACACAGGGAGGGGAGCATCACACACTGGGGTCTGTTAGGGGGAAATAGGTGAGGTACAGCGGGGGATGGGGTGTTGGGGAGAGATAGCATGGGGAGAAATGTCAGATATAGGTGATGGGTAGGAAGGCAGCAAACCACACTGCCATGTGTGTACCTATGCAACAATCTTGTATGTTCTTCACATGTACCCCAAAACTTAAAATGTAATTAAAAAAAAAGACCATTTCAAATACATAAATAATTAAATATTATTCAGCTTCTTAAAAGAAGAAAATTTTGTTAAATCCACAAGGACACATTTTTAAGATTTTATGTGCAAGAAGCCCTGGCACAAAAAGACAAACAATATAATTTCATTTATGTAAGATACCTAAAGTAGTTAAACTCAAACAGAAAGTTGACTCAACTGTGTCATCAGTTAAGTGGAGAAGATAATGAGTAGCTACTGTTTCATGGACAACCTGTTAGAATGCAAAACAACTTTTTTTTTTCTTTATTTTAAAAGATCAGGGGATATGTGCAGGTTTCTTATACAGGTAAACTGCTGTCATGAGGTTTTTTGTATGGATCATTTTGTCATCAAAGTATTGAGCCTAGTGCGCATTACACAACACTGAATTCTACAACACATCCTTTTATATCAATGTAACAAAACTAGACACCAAAAGCAGAAGCAAATTTGCCAAATCCAAAACTATATGAAACTTAACACATTCTTGAACATACTCTTCTCTATGTCTGGAGATTTAATATTGTTAAATGACCACACTACACATAGTGATATTCAAATTCAATGTTATCCTGAAAATAAAAATGACATCTTGTGAAGAAATATTTTTTACAATTCTTACATTTACATGGAAGTTCAAAGGACCATTGATAGCCCAAACATTCTTAGAAAACAAGAACAAGTTGCAGGCACAACACTTACTTTTTTTAGGAAAGATAAAACTAAATAAATAAAAAGTGTGGTACTTGCAAGAAGACAAATAGATGATGGAACAGAATCCAGAACTCAAAATGAACCATTGTGTACATGCTCCAATGACCTTCAACAATGTTGCTATAATCACACAATAAGAAAAATACAGTCTTTTCAATAAATGGTGTTTGAAAACTTTACATCCACATCAAAGAAACTGAGGTTGGATTCCTCCCCTGAGCCATATACAAAAACTACGTTGAATGAGTTAAATAATTAAAGGTAAGAATTACAACTATGCGATATTTAGAAGAAAATATAGGAAGAAAGATTATGACATTGATTTCAGCAATGTTTTCTTGCATATAACATCAAATACATGAAACAAATTTAAAAACACAAAAAAGTGGGACATTAAATTTTATCTCTGCACATTAAAACAAAGATTTAGTAAGAGCTCCATGTAAGAAGCAGAAAAACCTATATATATACATATATATATATGTATATATATTTATATATACGACAGGTAACATCCAGAATAACTCCAAAAA